GTACAACATGGGGGGTAAAACAACACAATCCCAAACTAAATTAACACGACATAGATAGTTCATGGAAAACAACACAATCCCAAACCAAATTAAGACGACATAGATAGTTAATTGAAAACAACACAATCTCAAACCAAATTAAGACGACATAGATAGTTCATGGAAAACAACACAATCCCAAACCAAATTAAGACGACATAGATAGTTCACTGGTTGTCTTCATTTCCCTCCACTTCCCCTTCTCTTCCTCTTCCTCTTCCTCCACGACCTCCTCGACCCCTTCTTCCGCCTTCTCTACCTCCTCCTTCTTCACGAGCCCGCTGGACAACTGCTCGTGGATTCCTCTTAACCCGACCACCCACCGGAGTGTAGATAGGTGGTGGGGGTTGATATGGCTGAGATGAACCAGAAGCGTAGTGGAAAGTCGATGATGTGTGTTGTTGTTGCAGGGTCTGATACTGAGCAGTTTGTTGCTGATGGTGGAAGTGAGGGGTGCCTTGGGTGAACATGTCATGTTCCTGAGTCGGGGCATAGCTTGACGACCCTCCGGTGCCCTCAGTACTAGTTTCCCACTCACAATGTGGCCATGGTTCAGGAAGTTGAGTTTGTTGAGACGGACGAAGCTCTTCAATGTTTTCTCTCACCCTTCTTCTGCTCCTCCGTGGGGGCTCTTGTGGGGGCACGATCCTCTCATCAGCACGGAATGAAGGTCGGGCCGGTGCAGGCATTGGAGGGTATAATACGACATCCCTCCTTTGCTCTCGGGTACAACAGAGCAGGTTGTTGAAAAGCCTGTGCAAAAAAGATGTCTTCCGCTCATCCATGGTGGGTGCACTCTCGACAGTGTGCTTGGCATGTTCCAAACCGTCAACCTAATAAATTGTTGTACAAAATTAACTAACATTAAGACAAAGAGGCATCATTAAATCTAATAATGTTAATTAACATTCTAGCTAATATAGGCATGTAATCATACTACACAAAACTTAGCCAAAGAGGACAAAATGGAATTCACTTACCACTGCGCCCCAAACAGCACCTTGCTTTGACACCCATCTTAGCGTGAAATTTCGATACCCACCGCATGTAGCCATCGTGGTACCCCATTGGCCTCGTCTCCGGCAACCCTTGGACCACCCACTGATTTCTATTCTCCCATATGTTGATGTAGAATTCATGCTTCTTGACCCAATCCTTTTTGGTGTAGCGTAGGTCAATGGCGTGGCGCTCCCTAAACCCTTGAGGTGGGGATGCTGGAATTGGTTGCTCCAATCGATATTGCCTCAAAGATCGATCGGGCAGGTGCCATTCCACCATGTGGAAGCAGGTTAAGGGCACCTTGCACAACCATGTCTCTTGATCCACGGGATGTCTAAGACGATGCAACTCGACCACTTCATTTGGATATGGATCCCATACCGCCTACAATCATTATAGTTCATGGAATTAGTACAAATTATATCCACTCCACCTAAAAAATTGAAAATGATGAAATTTTATATTTTTACCTGGTTCCACCAAGGCTTATCAAATTCATCACGATAAAACAGCAAAGAGTGTTCGGGCTGGTGGTCGATTGTATTTGCTCCGATCCACCTAATTAAGCAAAAGTACGTATATAAGCAATTTTTATGGCATATATGTTGACTTGTTAAGTATGAATGTATGGAAGCATCTAAATTGAACTAAAATTCCTTACTTGGCAATAATCTAAATTAGCTAAATACGATTTGGTTAGAATAAATCTAAATTTGCTAACTTGGAAGATATCTAAATTCACTAAAATACTATAATTGCAGACCTAAAATGTCACTAAATTTGCTTACTCGAAAGATATCTAAGTTCACTAAAATACTATAACTGCAGACTTAAAATGTCACTAAATTCGCTTACTTGGAATAGATCTAAATTCACTAAAATACTACCATTGCATATCTAAAATAAATTAAACTTAAATTAAACTTAAATTAAACTTACTTGAAACCATATGGGGGATTTGCTACAAATCGTAGCTCATCATCGTGCAACCAGAATTTCCGAGGGTCTCGAGGTGCTAAAAACGGAAGATGCTCCCATGCCCAGAGTTAGAGTATGAACATCGCACCACCAGCTTGTTTCGCTCCCAACCTCGAGCAAGTACACAACTCTTGGTAGATCCCAGCCAAGACGGCCGACCCCCAACTTTTTTCCCGATCTCGTCATAGTCACCAAGGAGCATATTTAACCACATGCCTTGTATCCACCGGTTTGACTTGTCGGGGAACAGAAACCCACCAACCAAACCAATTAGGTAGACACGTGCATACCGCTCCACCTGATCTTCAGGAGTGTCCGGGCCTATATTAGCCTCCATTTGGATGTGGTCAACAAGCCACGGGACCGATATTTGCCCCGCATTCAGTGGTGGATGCCCAACCCCGTCGACGGGCGTGGTGGTCGGCATGTTGAACCCCAAACGCTCTTGAATCAACGGTCCCCAACCATCTTCCGGTTTTTTCGAGTTGTCGATGATGGCATCTCCGGTGATCGGGAGCCCGGTGAGGATGGCAACATCTTTGAGGGTGATCGTCATTTCACCCTCGGGAAAGTGGAAGGTATGCAGCTCGGGGCGCCATCGCTCTGCCATTGCCGTCAGCAGATCGTTGTCAATATCAAGCCTCATAAAGTGCCTCAGCATGTGCAATCCCGTCCTCTCTAGATAGGGCTGCAGTCGATCATGCCAACGGGGCAATCGACATGTCCCTCGATGACTGATGGGAATAAGTGATTCCTACAAAACAAAAAACACAATATTGTCAGTCAATAGAAAGCAAAATTAAAACTTTAAAACTATGGAAATAATTTTAGTGTGTGTACCGGATTATTGTTCCAAATTGAACGGGAGCGATGTTGATCTTTCCCGGTTAAATACCTTCGATCCCTTGGGCCAGGATCGATATACAATCGAGGGTCGTATATCTCAGCACCCATCTATAAAAAAATATGAAATCAAATCAATTTAAATTTTAGCACCCATGTAAAAAAAATCACAAAAGAATAAAATTAATTTACGTACTCTCAAAGCCTCTTCGTCCATTTTTTTCCGAAAAGCTAGCGAGAGTATCGACAAAACAAAAACTCTAGTAATTCTTTCTGATGCGGAAGATCGGACTTAGCCGCAACCACAGAGCATACTTAGAACGAAACTAGAGTGAAATAATGGAGGGAGAAAGAAGTATTAGATGTGTGGTGTGGTTTGGAATGAAGGGGGGGAGGGGTATTTATAGTGTTTGGGCGCTGGAAAAGTCTTGTGCATTAATCACCGCGTCGAAGAAACACAGTGAATTCACTGCGTCCAACAAACGCGGTGATGGCCTGGATCGGTGACGTGGCGCCATGTGAGGTGTCGGATCGTGGAGAAAAACCACAATCCGCGCCTCACTGCATCAAACGGCAGCGGTGAAGTCGCGGGTGGGGCAGATCGGTGACGTGGAAAGCGGGGCTATCACCGCTTTGGTCATTAACGGTGAAGTGCCCGCGCGCGTCCACGTCAGCGATCTGCGCCTATTCACCGCTTTTCAATCCAACGCTGAAGATCTCTTCACCGCATCTCTTATCAACGGTCGTATAATCCCCGTTATTCACCAAAGTGGGGATTGGATCACTGTTTTGGTCCACAGCGATGATAGCATCACCGTTTTTGTCCAAAACGGTGATAGCATCATTGTTTTGGTTGAAAGCAATGATGCTATCACCGTTTTGGTCAAAGACGGTGATTACTATCACTGTCTTGGTCTACAACAGTGGTGTTGAAACTGCTGTATTTTGGGAAATAAGTTTATAAGTACTGTATTTTGGGAATTTTTTTTAATAATTAGAGTATTTTGGGATTTTTTCCTATAAATTCTAGCCCCAAAAGTTATTCGTATAAAAAAACAATGAAACCTAAAATTCAAAAAGTTTAAAACGTAAAATTCTAAAAGATATACAAGGTTTGTTCCCTTGAAAATTTGCTAAAGCAACTGGTGGATATAGGGATGGACACAATGCAAATTGATTAGTAGATTGATTTATTTAGTGTTGATGCTGCTCGTTTCAACAGCTAATACGAAGAGAACCTTTTCAACAATGAAACATGTGAAAATAGATTTGCACAACAAAATGAACGATGAATTTCTTGCCGATTGCTCAAGTATTTTATTTGAGACAATGTATACTATTGGTATGGATTTGGACTCCATTATCAATGCATTCGCTAAATTAAAATACCGTCGTGTACAATTTACATTGTAAAAAAAATTATAATCATTATATTTTTTTACGATTCTAATTTTCTAATAAAATGCGGTCCAGTGTTCTGGATCCGCCACTGAATATAAATCAAAGACTTTGATCAGGTGAATTTTAAGTGCATGCCTAGTTATTCCCATTTACTAGTTCTGCTACCATTGAGATGTTGTTACTCATGCTTCTGTCGTTGACCAATGCAGAATGACTTTTACTTATAAAAGCTAGGCAATACATTTGACTAATTATGTGCTACGACTTCAACAATTCATTTATAGAGAAAATTGCAACAAAAAATAGGACGAAATAGCTTCATGTGGTCACCAGAAGGTGCATTAGGTAAAAAAGCTAATACAGTTGAATTAATTTCCCTTGAAAGATCTCCATTCTCAAAGAAAGAACTAATCACTCTAGTGATATCTCCTACTACATTCCAGACAATCATTTGACCAACTTGTGCTTCAAGTTTGAAGACCCGATTGCCATTAGCAAAAAATAAGGAAAATAAAAACAAAGGGAAGTCCCGACTAGTTCGATCAATTTACTCTTCCTCGTACATATGGGACACAAGCAGAAAGGTAGAAATTGGCATTCGATGCATACTTTCAGTTCTCTAAATCTTATTCCACAATTCCAATCCTTAACAAGGATGATAGTTTATTGAGATTTTATCATGTCCACCTTTTTTTATCAGCGTGACCTTTCATACAACTAAAACCATCCTCCAACAGTTGTCAAGACTTGGAGTTTAGCCTTTCGACATCCACCAACTGATAAAGATCACCTCGCCGCTGCTTTGTCAAGGGGAGGAACGTCCTGATTCAAATACAGATATATCAACACCAAAAAAGACTGGAAAGAAGAAAACAATAACTGACGTCGAAAGGGATGGTTTCGCATTGAACTGGAAATTACCGCCTTTGCTCAATTAGTGAGTAATCAATCTCTGCTATGATTATGGCTTCCTCATGCTCTGTAGTAGCCAAAACTTCTCCGAACTGTGCATTTCAGAAATGTAGTAACAAACCAGTTAATGCAACAAACAAGGATTCAACAAACCTAACAGAAAAAGATAAGATAAAACATCCATCACTTACAGGTCCAACTAGAGTCGAGTGCCCCCAAGCAACATAACCAGCTCCCTCATCTCTTGCAGGTGAACAAGTTGCTACATATAGCTGGAATACACGATTTGAAAGTGCGGTGTATGTTAAAAGAAACTTGCAGGTCTAAGGTCTAATTGGTCCCCATATCAACTTATCTGATAGGTTTTACTGGTGATACACCCTATTCGGTACATCACGACACAGAACTCAGCGCTTACAAACTTTGACATCATCATACACCTTTCAAAAATCAAATCAAGTAAAAAAGATTCGAACTTCATGTCATATGGATGATATCGTTGAGCATAAACTTGGAAACGTCATTCCCTGTCCTTTTAACTACTGAAATTGCATCTAGGTTATACCAAAAAAAAAAAACATGAAATAGATAAAAGCTATTTAAGAAATGTAGGGAGTGTTTATGCCAATTGCGATTTGCGAGTATCCCAATATTTTTCCAGATGATATATGCTTTTGGCTGCACCCAGATTTGAAATCTATAGAAACAAACATAACCTGATGGGGTTGCATATCTCAAAATAGGCGTTCAGCATGACATTAACTCTGTTCAAATTCTAAGCACGCGGTAATTAATTGTTGTGAATCCCATCTAGCATGAAACCTGGAGATGTACTAGAAAAACATCCATTACGAGAAATTTTACAATGCTATATAGTATTGGTGCTATAGGGTTTTGCCTTTATGATACAACTTAAAATTGTACATTTACGTTATGGTACAACTTCAGATTGTACCTATACTTTTTGTACAAATTCTTTTATGGTACAACTTGAACTTGTACATTTATGTGATGGTACAACTTCAAGTTGTAAAGTTGTACCATAACATAATGATACAAATTGCTTTATGGGACAACCTAAACTTATAAATTTAATGTTATGGTACAACTTTAAGTTGTACATTAAAGCACCAATACTATATAGCATAATAGAAGTGCTCATTACCTGGTTATCTGCAGCCCTGCACATGAACAAAGATAACATCAACTGATTTGGTAGTTGGCATAAGTTTCAAGCAAATACAAAGTCACCAAACAATATGTGTAGAGTCAGTTAGAAGCAAATATTGAGATAAATAAAACACAAACTATAAATGGTTAGTCTGATTCCTGGCCTGCTGCTTCACATTTAGGGCTTATCCGATTGACTTGACGCAACTCAGCCATACTTATAAGTTATAAGAATGTGCCATGAATGCAATTTTCTTCCAATAAAAGACCCTTGCGTAATTTGTAACCAGTAATTATTCCATCACATGAGGGGATCACACTCTCATGTCAGTTGTCTCGGCACAAATCATATAGATCACTCGGGGGAAGCTTTGAAATTAGTTCACTATAGGACAATATGGCTCGGGATTGGTTACTGTTCATGGAAGAGATTAAATTTCAGTTCATAATGAATAAAAATGCAAGATTATCTTGCAATACCATTTTCAACAGAATCAACTACTTTAAACCTCCTGGCAGATCAAAGAAGTGAACAGAGAAGTCAGTCATGTGCAGCAGAGGAGGTAGTTCCAAGGAATTGAAAAGGAAGCTGACTATTATTGAGTGATTCAAAGAGACGCAAGTAATTTCAAACTATCAAAACATTCATGTATTAAACATAGCACCATAATAATCTCATATAGCTTCCATGGAAAAAATAGTAGCAAGCAAAAAGTACTACAGACAAGGAGATGCATCAAACCTTCCTCTCTGCAGTAACTCCCAGTGCAGAGGTCCTGTGGTCATGTTAAATGCCCCCGGGTAGCAAATCAAGTGTGCACCTGGAATCAAGGACCTGATGGTGTCACATATATTGATATTTGATACTCATCGACATGAAAACCATCTGGCATATGAACATTTAAAAGAAGGATGAACAAACCTCTTGCAGCATATATCATTGCCAGTTCCTGGAACCGGATGTCATAACAAATGCCAATACCAATACGCCCAACTTCTGCAAGAAATTGGTTGTAGCCACTATCAGAATGAGCAAAATTTTCCAACTACTGAAAATAGATCAATTTGAATGAAGAGAATGAACAAGAAAGGCATACCACAACTGAAGAAAAAAGAATGCATCTTAACTACTTCAATTTGATTAGTTCGTTCCGCTTTTCTAACTTTATCTAAGTTTTCCCAGCACAGTAGGAAACCCCTAAACACCAAATAACACTTCCCTACAGAAGTTCTACAATCTTTAGAGAAATCTAATAGGGAAACCAGAAACATCATATAGGAGATTGTCATTTCCTTGGTACAATCTTTCTAATGATGATGTAAGAAATTAAAGAGAAAAACGTCTCACCTGCTAGCCTAACCATCAGACCCTTTATCCATTCAGGATGCATAAGATTTTACCTTTTTAACCAAACCCTTTATCTGACAGTAGTAGTTATCATAATCAAGCATGTGCATGTATAAGTAAACAGGATTTCCAAAATCCGGATGAGTTACTAGATATCTTCCTCTTTTGTGATTATATGCATGTCAATTATCAGGTCAGATGTTGATAACCACTGACTGCCGTTGGACTTCAACAGAGAACTAAGATTAGTCAAAAGAAAACCTGTATCCACAATTGTTGGAGTGTCCCCAGCTGTTAAAGTCTCGGATTCAATGAACGTTATCTTCCCAGGAATGTCAATATCAAAAAGATGAATCTGAAATTACAAAACAAAAGGATAAAACAAGTACTCGGCTAAAAAGAATTACCAGCACCCAAAAAGAGAAGCCAATTTTGGGCTTGTACCTTCCTGTGTTTGGCCAATAGCTTTCCTTGAGCATCAAAGACACAGCAAGCATTGTAAAGCTGATCGCCGGAACGTTCAGGTATGGAGCCCCCAACTATTGTAATATTCAGCCTCCGAGCAACATCAGAGAGCATTGCCGTTGAAGGAGATGCCTGGCCACCGGCATCGATGTCCTCAGCATATACTGGGAAACTAGCATTTGAGTACGGACTATTCCATATTTCCTATCCGGAAAGCACATCACTGTTAGCATGTTTATGCTTCTTGCTCATTTCTCGCCATTAAAAAAAAATCCCAGTTTTGTGGGAATGAAATAAATACTCACAGGCAAGACGACGAGCTTAGCCCCCTTTGCGGCAGCTTCTTCAATTGCTTTACGAGCATGTTGGATGTTCTGCTGCTTATCTGCTGTCACTGCCAACTGGCACAGCCCTATGTTAAACTGCACGAAGTAGGAACGAAAATTAAGCGAAAGGAAGATAAAAAGAACACCGGTAGGAGTGCAGAAAAAGATTGACGAATTGGGTGCCTTGGTGACAGGAGGAGTGGGCAAAGGAAGCGCCGGAGGTGCCCTAGCTTGCTCCGGCTTGAAAGAGGAAGCAGCCATGACTGGAGTGAAAGACGTGTGAATTCTCCTCAAATTCAGACAACTACCGCGGTCAATTTTATCGGATTGCTGGAGAAACTCCGGTAAGTGAACGGCGGCGGATGCCCGGTGGCAGAAGGAGAGGCGAGAGAAAGAGAAGGGGTAGCGATGAAGCTTGCTCGAGTTGAATGCTGTCGATATCGCTGACTTCATTTCCCCTTCCTGGACACTTTCTTCGCTGGTTAAAACAAACCCGGGCAGCCAGAAGAATAGGGGTCATTTGCTTCATGATATTTTATGATGGATTTGATATCAAATTCAATTAATCTAAGGGTTGTTTGGAAGTTGTGATTGTTAAATGGATGTATTGTTGTGAATACATGTATAATATTTTACATGTATTGTCGAATTTGATACATTGTAGAATACAACGTTTGGTATGTCTGATTGTTTGTCACATCAGCTAAAAGCTGAGACAAAACAATCTCAACTCAACTATCTCAACAATCACAACGAAAAGTTGAGATATAACAATCACTCATTTTGAGGGATAGTTTCTGTCACATCACAGAAACAATCCATGCATTGTTTCTGATAAAAAAAAACAAAAACAAAAACGATGCATTCTAAACAATACATGTATAGTAACAATCTCAACAAAACAATCGCAACTACCAAATGACCCCTAAGTAAAATTTATTGTTTGTTCCCACATTTTAGCGACCATAATTGGGTCCACGAATTTTAAGGTTCGTTTGCTTCGTCGATTTGAAAAATGAAGGTTTTGATATAATTTGGATTTTGGGAAACCATGAATATGTGAGAATTTTTTGTTCATTGTGAATTTGATAGACACCATTGTTTGTTTCATGGATTTCATGATGGACTTTGTTAATTAGATTTGTATGTATGAAGTAAAATTTACATTTATTGTCCTCAATGATATAAGAAGAGAGAGAAAATATGAGAGGTAGATTGGTAAAACATGGACTTCAAACTCCATGATCAATTCCCACCTAAAGATGTGGGATTTTCAAGTTCGTGGGGCCCACGAATTTGACCCATAAAGTTCATGGGTCTCACTGATTTGTTACCTCCAAATACTTGAAGCAAACAATTGATTTTGGATAAAGTCCATCATGAATCCAAATCTATCACCAAGTCCATCAAGCAAACAACCTCTAAGTGTTCAAATTCATGGACTCTACGGATTTGTAAATCATACATGTTGTTGTGCGATTTGGTACATGGTACAAATTCATGATAAAATTTTACCCATAAACACTCATAAACTTTTAATATTCTAAGGTTTTCCGCGCATTACTTATTGTACATAATAATTGATCAATTACTTAACAACAAAGGAATAATATAAATATTCAATTAATGTGCAAACATTAGTTAGATTTTTATGCCATTTCTTGTGTTCTAATTTCCTTTGACATTTTCATGGAACGTGTAATTCTTTATTCTATCGATTCTAATATATGTTGTTATATGTTACTTTTGAAAACAAGGACAAAGAATGTGTAACTGATTATGTTACATTAAAAGTTAAATAGAAATTTTCCATTTATTATTATTGTCCTTGTGGCAACATTATTCTTATTAGTGCGTATTGTCTCGTTTTGTGTACAACTCATAAACATAACAAACATATAGAAAATGATAGTAAGGTAATTTTGGACTTTAAGTTCTAAATTTTAAAATCTTAAATCCATGATAAAACATCTCAATCCAAAATGCCTCAAATCCTTAATTAACCCTTGGGTTTTTAATTACAACACCCCATTTTTAAATCCATGAAGCAAACGACCCCTAAGTGAGGCTCTATGCCACCTGGCCACGCAAGGGAACCATCGCCGCCTCTTCTCCGCCACTCCTATCTTCGGTTCTTTAAGAACAGAGAGAGGGACCGCGAAACAAGCCCTTCTTTCCCAACTGGAAGCAAAACATTCCAGCCTTTTCCATATTTCTCGAGCACCAAAAGCAAAATTCTCTGGTGCTTGAGGAATCGTGGACAAGTCTTTAGATAGACACATTTTTCTAGGGCGGTGATGGATGCACACTATATAGTACCCAGCGAGGCCTGAAACCCAAACAAACTTGATCTGGACAGAATTGAAAGATTTTACATAACACTTGATCGGATTCCAACCTTAAACGATCTTGGCCCCGAAATCGGAACGGTTTTCAATCCTCAACAAATCAGCCTAGTTGTTGTTCCCAATGTTGACGATCCCATGCCATGGTATATTCAGTCACTCTTCATCGATTGGAACGATAAGTAGGCAGTAGCCAACAATCAGGGAACGAAGAAAAATGTGGGGACGAACCGATCGAGATTGGACACTAAAGGTTGCGGTATGCATACACAACGTTGTGAGCAGGAAAAAAGCTAAGGAGCAATTGGGTCCATTGTCAAATTATGATTATGAGAGTAATAGCTAGAGCCAGAGCCATGATCGTTATTATGAAGGAGAAACGTTTGCACAAACAAGGTGATGTGTTCCAATAAATGAAGCCCCACAACTTTCGGTTTGGCGGGCTTCCAATTGCCTTTGTTGTTAAGTTTTGAGGGAAATCGTCCACTCCAATGTTGGTACTATGCTTTGCTTCTTCTAATTAATATCGCTTTCCATGGAGTGATTAATTAATAAGTGAACTTGTAAAGTTTTGTTTTTTCCTTGATATGGTTACTAAACTTGAGATTCATGGGAGAGTGGGTATGATTTCACATGCGATTCTGGAGCACCGCAACTACTTAGAAGATCATTATGTGTTCTTCTTCCAATTCGTTGATTGAGCATTTTCTTTCCTCTCTCTGCATGCCTCGCTTGCTCTTCTTTTCTTATCACTAACTTTTGTTGTCGCATTTGTTGTGCATGTGGGTGGGTCGGGTCAGCTATAGCAACAAATGCTTGGAGGAAATATTGAAGCACTCACTGGAGGAATAATGTGCTGGGAAAGAAAGATAATGCTTCTTCATCGAACAAGACAATCTCTCAATGTTCTACAAAAGAACATTCTCCAATTGGCCTTGTTTCCAATGGAAGGTGTTGATAAACTTAAATCTAACTCGCAGAACACGAAACACACACCGATTTAATGTGGTATCCTCGGAATGTCAGGACTAATCCACGGGAGAGTTAAACTTTCCAAGCTCAAACTCGTACGTACTTAGCTGCCGTTCATGGTGGTTTACAAGTCCCTTAAATACCCTATACAACTCTAGCACACTCAACACACGGCCAATGCATGGGTTGCATGGGCTCTCCAACAATCATGGGCCTGCATACGTCTAACATAGCTAATTAACACAATGGGCTATATAACTATACTACGTAAACCCATAACATAAACATCAGCTAACAGCCTCCCCCAAATTGATGTCGGGAACTAAGCATCAATTGGATCGAGAGATACCAATGAAGACTGTTGGAGAACGGCTTCCTGAAAATGTCGGCAATCTGATCCTCAGTACGAACATAGTGTAGGCGGACAGTTCCATCACGAACCAGGTCACGAACATAATGGACATGAAGCTCAATATGCTTCGTGCGATCATGAAGAACTAGGTTAATCGCAATCTGGATTGCACTAGTGTTATCCACGAAGAGGTCCAACGGTATGGAGCAAGTGACTCCCAAATCCCCCAGTAAGCGACGAAGCCAGACCAGCTCAGAGCACACATCAAACATGGCACGATACTCTGCCTCAGTAGACGACTTAGAAACCTTATCCTGCTTCTTGCAGCGCCATGAGATAAACGCCACACCAAGCTGAACACACCATCCCGTAGTCGAGCGCCGAGTATCGATGCACCCTGCAAAATCAGAGTCCGAGAAGGCACGAAGGTCAAAAGTCCCATCAGACGGGGAAAACATACCAACATCCATAGTCCCCTTGAGGTAGCGTAACACCCTGTGAGCTGCTGCCAAATGATCTCAACGTGGAGCCGCCATACACTGACTAATGATCTGTACTACATAAGAAATGTCTGGCCGAGTGGCTGCCAAATAAATAAGACTCCCAACCAAGCTGCGATAACTAGAACCATCCGAAAGAGGATCCCCTGAATCACGACTCAATTTGAGATTGAGCTCCATAAGTGTGCTTACCAGCTAACATTCCTCGAACTGATGATAACTCAACAGATCACCAATATACTTCCGCTGAATGATAAGAATACACTGGGCACTACGAGTGCTCTCAAGACCCAAAAAATATGAAAAATCGCCAAGATCCTTAAGATGGAAAGCCGAAGCAAGACCACTCTTAAGTTGTGTGTCATCCCCTGTGATGACCATGTCATCGACATACAATAGCAGTACCACTATCCCGGATGAGGAGGTCTTCGAGAGGAGTGATGGATCATTTAAACTCTGATGCATCCCAAGCCCCAGTAGAGTAGACTGAAATTTCTCAAACCAGGCACGAGGGGCTTGCTTGGGGCCATATAACGAACGATGAAGAAGACACACCTGACCCGGAGAACCCACATTGTAACCAAGAGGCTTCTCTAAGTAGACCACTTCCTTCAAATCCCCATGCAGAAAGGCATTCTTGACGTCTAGCTGATACAGAGGCCACTGACGAATAGAAGCCACTGCTAGCAATGTCCAGACAGTAGCAATCTTAGCCACATGAGCGAACTTCTCATCAAAATCAACCCCCTGCTCCTGCGAGAAACCCTGAGCCACAATCCTCACTCTATGACGGTCTATCAAACCCTTCGGAGTCATCTTCAAAGAGTACACCCATCTCGAGCCGATAACTGGGACCTCAGGTGGGGGTCGATCAAAAACCGTCCAAGTGCGGTTGGCATGTACTGCATCAATCTCCATCTGCATGGCCTGTTCCCACATGGGATCCCCCTTTGCCTGCTTATATCGAGTAGGAACCACAAAAGCATCAATACCATACGAAACAAAATCGTCAAACCTCGGGGGCGGTTGACCACGAGTGAGGCGAGTGAAACGCCGCAAAGCCAGCTGCTCGGCAGAAGAGGAGGATGAGGCAGGAGAGTTGGCCGAACTGGACGACGAGGAATGATCCATGGAGGAAGTAGCCAAGGACGAACCTCGTGATGCCGAGGAGGGACTGGACGGGGAACCAAGGACAGAAGGATCCGGGGTGCGAGGCAGATCAGGTGGCGGAGAGGGAGGATCTTCCTAGGGTGGTGGAGGAAAGCCATCATCATCATCTTCATC